CCACACTGAGAAGGCGGCGGGGTGGTGAGGACAGAGATCATACAGAAAGCGTCTGCAGAGAACAAATATGTACCATGAGAAGTGGTATCAAAGTGGGGAAAACCACACTACATCCAGAACAGGTATGCTTTTCACTCAGAACTACAGAAAATTGAAAAGGGTGGAATACAATACAAGTATGATGGTGCAGCCCCAACCAAACAGCCGAGGTTCCACAACTCGGGTTGGATTTAAGGGGTCATGGTACCCATATCCCATGGTGGTGGCCAGCAGATATATACATCTTTGTGATAGGATCCCTACCAATAACCACAGAATGATGTGTTTTGAACCACTGGATTTATGAAAGAAAAAAAGCAACACCAAAAAGGACAATCCTTCTGATCAACCTGAAGAAGTCCAAACAGCAACATACCAGATCTGGATTGACAGGATCATATGTCATACTCCACCAAAGTTCAGAACTCATCCTGTCTGGATTTACAAACAGTTGTCTTTACTCCCCCACCAAGTGGGCAAGAAGAATTCCACTTACCCATGGAATTAAGGAGAGGATGTGGAACACTGTCCCACCAAGGACCAAAGATGGGACCATGTCATGTTTGGATTTATGAGGAGATAGTATGAACAACATAAGACCTGACAGTGTCCAAGCATAACCCTCACCGGATAGCTGGACTGGTTTTACGAGTAGGCTCCTGCATAGGTTGGTCCTACTTCTACCGACATCTAGGAAAAACTTCCAGAGACTAAAAGGGTCCCCAACTTCGGCCTCTTCTCCAAGAATGGAGAAAACTCAACACTTCACAGGTAAATCCTCTATCCACCACCCCAGTAACTGGGAACTGGGTGTGGTAAGAACTCCCGAGCTCCACTAGTAGAGGTAAGGGGAGAACACAAGTGTTGGGGAGTCCTAAGGAACAGGCCTCTGGAAACAGTGCAACAGGTGAACCATGTTCCCCAATTTTTAAAAGCAAACTGATCTCGACTGATTCAGCCCTTAGATCAGCAGGGACTGGCAAAATCCCCTTTAGCTTTACTCACAATAGTCCATGAGTAGTGGTCCATTAGAAATATTGTAATATGATATCACCATCCAGAATGGTGTCCAGATGGTCTTATGAAACACCTCATCTCGACAGAGCCCATTGCAACCAGGAACCGATATAAAGGTTGCTAGGTGTAATTTAAATACAAGTATACCCGACTGGGCAACACTTGCTACCGAGTGGGATAAAAAAATCAACAGGGAGCCTAGAAGAGAAAGGAACAATAACTGTAAGTCAGATAACATGTTACTGACCACCCTGTTAAAATCTTGTAGAGGTAGTCAACACAGCCACAGGGGGAAGACAATGTCCCTTCAAAGAGGAAACTGCCAGATCGTGAAGGTAATAAGATATGAATGTGTCAGGAGAAGTCCACCTACTGGCCAGCAAAGTATCTCCTGAGAAGAAGGACAGAACTGATTAAGAGAATCAATGGAATGAGGAGTGGAAGGAGGGGGCCTTGAGACACGAGGGGATGAATATGCAGAAGTACAAGTTGATGTAGAATAGGGTCGAGCAGACAAAGATGATAATGAAGACTGCAAACATGGTGTCTCAACTCTGGCTTCTAAATATTCTGGAATTCCAGCAAATAAATAAGGCTGAAGAAAAGGCACTTCCCATAAATCTCGAAAGGCAGAAGAAGATTAGTGAATACCCTCCAAAAAGCATCACAACTCAACAAGTTCCAGCAACAGACCAACCACAACACTAAGGTAAGTCCTGAAGAGGACAAATGTGTCATAATAGTGACCAGTAAATGGCCCAGTTTGTTGTCAAATCTTTAAGGTGATCGGTGACATGCTTCAGACAAAAGTTGAAGGGAAGAGAAGTATCTTAAAACACTAGGAAGAGCCAAACAAATCCGCAAAAATTGTGACCTGTTAAGTAGGATAACAGGTTCGTACCCAGCCCATAGATCCAACAATGAATCCAACCTTTGAGTGACCAAATATATATATCATCCTGACGATGATACGCCAGGGCATGTGGTTCAGATAAACAAGGGGGGAGGCATAGCGACACCCTCATGTAATTGTGTTGCAAACCTCCCTGCATGCACAGCAATATCAGGAGAAGGAGAAAAAAACAAAGTAATCTCCTTGAGAACGAAAGGAAAAAGCAGGGTAGACTCAGAAGCAACTGGCTGAATCTCCAAAACTTCACAAACACATGTAACTGACTGCACAAAAAAGGGGCAGAAGGTGGCTGATAAGATGAGTCATCTAGAACAAACTGTCAGAAAGTTTTGATACTAGAAAACTAATTACCACACATTTGTGTGCCCTTCTCTCTCATATTGTCTTCTGGCAGGAATACTGGTCAACAACACCTACATTATTCCAGAACTTGGAACTCCCTCAAAAACACAAGAGAACAGAAAATTGGCCTTAGGAGATGTTGAAATTAATGAACTTTTATGTAATTATCTGTTTTGTATAAAACTGTTGTTGATTTCCAGTTGATTTGATGACCAGAATCTCTCATATGAAGAAAAAATGGCATTGTTTCTGTTACCATATTTAATGTTTTTCTTATGTTCAGAAACTCTCATGTCCATACTTCTTTCAGTTTAACATATGTAACCTTTATCAGAGGATCAGCATGGTATAAATACCTTGTTTTCTTTTTTTCAAGAAGACAAAGAAAGACCAAACAACAATAACATAAAACCACTTTAAATTGGTTACAACACTAACAATGAACCTATACAGACAATATTAAGGAATATCGTCAGAATCATATACAAATATTCAAACACCATTAAAGATAACCTAACTTCAAATAGAACTAGCTATATTCTTCCAGTTGAAAAAATGCTCACTCTCAATATCAAGGGTATGGAATTCGTATCACCCGATGCTTGGAACAAATTTAACCATTAATCTTTGCCTATTGGACAAGTGTTTTTTTTTTTATATTTGTTCTATTGAAAGAAAAACCCTTAAGGTGGCAACCAATCATGAGAATTTATATGGGAGAGTGCTGACATTTTAGGATTTTAGGCTACTGGGTTTTTAGCATTTAGGAAGTTAAAACTACCTCTTCTTGCACAAAACTGAAAACATTTTAAACTACAAATGAAGCTTAAAACAACGATGAAAATAATAATCATTTTATTTGAAGCCCCCTTTATGGCAGAATATCTCCGAGGTAGATTTCAGGCACATTTAAAAAAAACGTTTTTTTTGAGTAAAGAATAATAAATGGAGTGATAAAATATTACATTTCTTATTAGTTTTTTATTATCATGATTCATTATTCAGTTACATACACTCACATTTTTCTTGTTTCATAAATATGAATCCATCAAAAAATGATAAAGTAAAAAAAAGTCAAAATTCTTCTTTAGCCCAAGGAGTGGACGACATATCATAAATACGACAAAACTTGACATTAGTCACATTGAATTTCATTCATGTGCTGTAAAACTGAATTTACATTCAGTTTGGTTCCTAATTCACTTAAGCATTATGACTGAGATATACTGAAAAAATACGATAGTGGCATATTAGGAAATATATAATCCAACATTCAACTTGATTCTAATTACCAACGAATACATCTAC